CCTATGGTCAAGATTTTTCCATTAGACAAAAGCGGAAAAAGCAAAAGGATATTAAAAGTACAATCATCCATAGCAACCAATAGGAATTCTTTCACCAGTAGGAACAATGAAAGTCAACTATTGATTGGTTGCTAGGGGTTATTCCATTCTGCCTGTTGCTCTTGGCCCTTTTACATTAGCAACTTGCATGCTACTCACCCAACTTACTTTGTATTTTAGGAGTTAATTTACAAATTAGAACAGTGAAGTAATTAAAATCAGCCAATCAGATTATTAGCTTTTATTGGATCAAAGCGACCAGAACAATGGAGACAACTGAGGATTGTCCTTAAAGGGATAGTACTCTTTTGCTCTTTGTCTTAGGTAAGGCTGAAAATTTTAAATGATGGATTGGCAGCCAGAATGGATAGTTAGGAAAGCAAAAGAATACAAAAGGTTAATTCTCTCTCTGTATATGTAGCAGTTGTGGAGGTTTCATACATCTTATATATTTAATTAGTGTCCGATTTATTCATTGATGCCCAATATTTTATAACTAGAGCATGTTAAGTTTGAATTTCCTTAGACTGTGGGGATTCCTTCAGAGATTGCTTTGAAGCTTTGTCTAAAAATAATCTAATTCTTTAATCCTTTGTGACAAATTGAGAGTAAACCCCTTGTGCTTTATATAAGATTCTTGGACATTTATTTTATGGAATAAAACAAGTCACTGAAATGATAATACTATATCATTATCACAGTCTGTACTCCTGATCTGATTAATTATTTATAAATAATATTGATTGTAATAATATATTCATACATTCTACATCTGTTCTGCTGGTATTTGTTTAAAGCTATTCTATTTATGAAGAATCATAATGTTAGAGAGTGATATTAAAGGTCTGCTTCATTCAAAAATGAACATTAAAGCAGAATTCTAGGTAAAATTTTTCTTCAAGGGTTTCTAAACACTCACGTTTTTTGCATATATCTACTGCTAGCAAGTAGTAGATATATGGAAAAAGTTTTTTTTTAAAGCGGTTAAAACTTACCTGTGTCTTCGCCGCGCGCTCCCGTCCGAAAATCTGAAAATGCTCGGGCGGCCGCAAAGCATCTTGGGGCGGGCGCATGTGCAGTTCGGATTTTCGGCCGGGAGACGAGGAGAGACACAAGGTAAATCTATGGATGCGTGCAGACACCGTGGGACAGGAAGGGCCAGCAAGGACAGAGGAGTCAGCGCTGGATCGGAGACCCGCAGCAGCGCTGGAGAGAAGGATGAAAACGACAGGAAAGAAGAAGAAGATTGGATTAAGAGACATCATTTAAGATAAGTGCTTTTATTAACATTGGGGGGAGAGAAAAAAGTTTTTGCCTTTCATGTCACTTTAACCTTTGCAGTAGGGCTACCCCAACACTGCAAGGGGTTAAGTGCTTGTTTTTGTCTAGGGTTAAAAATAAGAGTTATACTCATCTGATCCTCGGAGCTGGGTTGCTCTTAAACCTGTCCATTCTGCCTCGCCCCCCCCTTCACACAGTGTATAGGAGGATGCAAGGGGACATTGCTGCAGCGGAAGAGGAGACAGGAAGGAGGGAACACTGTCACAGCGGGTCGGCTCCGAGGGTTGGGGTGGTATCTCTTAGTTATTTTTGAACCTAGACAAAAAGGAGCACTTAACCCTTGCAGTAGCCCCACTGCAAGGGTCAAGAAAACTTTTACCCAGAGTTCTGCTTTAAGCTTTGTGGTAGACAGCATGCTTCAGGAGGTACTCTCCAAGTAACCCTATGAGGGGCTCTGTGGATTCTGGCTGAAGTGGGTTATAGGGAATCAGTGGAACATGTTATAAAATTGGTGATGCTGCATGTCATACCTAACTTCTGGGAGGGGGAGAGGTGCAAATTCCTTTAGTAACGCTGTGTAAAGACCAGTAATGTTTAGTAATCTATAGAATTACCTTAAAATCAGCTTTTAATTAAGTAAAAGGAACATTTTCATTAGAGAAATATGAAGTGCCTGACTGTCATACTTATCCTCAACTTCAATATTATGAGTAAGAAACAAGATAGAAGTAGGTGCACACCAAAGTCCTTCCATCAATGACTAAGTCCTAACTTAGTGTGAAACACATCAAAGCAAGAGCAGTGTTTGGCAGGACTCAGGGCCGGATTTCCCACAAGACCAACCAAGGCCCGGCCTCGGGGCAGCAGGGAGTAGAGGGGCAGCAGGGGTGTGGAACTACTATCTCCCGATGCCCGGGCGAGTAGTTGTTTTCTACATTTAGCCCTGTTTTGGGCAAGCAGAGCTAAATGTACAGTGGGGAAGCCGCCGCTTGTTTTGTACAAGTGATCTCGGCGACATTGTATGCAGCTTGCAGGTCTGCCATTCTCCATGGGGGGGAGGGGGACGCATTGAGGAGCCTGGCCTTGGGGCAGCAGGGAGAGTAAATCCGGCCCTGAATTGTTTGGGAGTTTTGTATTGGACTGGGCCACAGTAGGATTAGAACCAAGAAGGATACTTGGCAGGTAGTAGCTTCCCCACCCAGAACCACCTGCCTTGCACACCATTCTGTGATGGATTAAGATCAAATCAGAGCCTTTTGTAGGTATAAAAATTTAGAGCCCCTTTGCATTGACTTTCAATACTATGACTGAGTAAAAGACAATCACTTCTGGAAAAAAAAACCAAGATATAAACCCTATCAGATAACAAATTATATACGTTACATATACACATATACTTTACATATATACATATAATTATATATACTTCTAGAGTGTATATATATATATAATAACAAAGGGCCCCAGATAACCTCAGGAGTAGCTAGGGACAGAGCCTGAAAAGATTGTGTTATGCTTGCTGCACCCCTGTGTAATAAGACTTATGGGTGCTTGGCAGTTGTTGGAAATGCCTGCCAAGCACCCTTGATAACATCAGTGTGGGCCTAAATGTTCACAGCTGATCACTAAAAAGCCTCCAGGCATGCCACCCCTAGTACAAGGCCCCACACTTAAAATGGTGGGATTTAGTGTACAGGGCTTTGTAGATTGCAGGGAGCTGTTCCTAGATGTTCCCAGTGGCTCAGTATCCTGCAAACCATGAGGTAATAAAAGCCTAAAAAAAGGCTCCACACACTGTGCATCAGGTCCTGCACTGACCAGGATGTCTCAGTATGTACCCTTTATGTGCATGCACACCATTTTAAACCATGAAGTGGTCATTGCAGAGCTGTGGGATGCATGTCACCTAAGCACACCTCTAATATCTGACCCAAGGACCCTCACCTAGGCGTTCATTAAAGTCCTCTTGCTAGTAATCCAGCTCTGGATTGGGCTGATAGGACCAATAGATACAGGTACTGCTTCATTGGTTGCAACTCCAACCAGCATTGGTTTGCACAATTTAAGTAAGGTTGTTTCATATAACCAAAGGTGTCATTTATATAGTATTTACTATAAGATACTCATGGGCTGGTGCTTAGGAAAGCATGATAGAAGGGGCAAAACCAAACTGCACCATTTACAATTTGTGTTTATATATTTACTTTGAATATGACTCTGCTCCCTTCAGCCTCTCGCATATTCCTATCGACAACAGTTAAGGCACAGAGGGGCAATGGAAGCTACTGCAATTCTAGGTGCCTACAGTTCATCCCTGCTAGCAACTTTTAGTATTACGGTATTATTATTATTAATAATATTATTATTATTATTACTGTAACATGACCCAGTCTCTTTCATGGTGACAGTCTGTGTCATTTTTACATATCCTTGAATGGTGGAATATGGGCAAATATTAATTTCTATATTTAAAAGTGTAATTTGGGTTTAGATTCCATTATGTAATTTAATGATAAGTAATATGGTTCCTGAGAAGCTGAAGATTTACCAACTACTCAGGAAACCCATTATCAGCATATCTATAGTTGTGGGCTTCCAACTCTGGGTCACCATAAAATTGTGATCTTCCAACCACTAAGGAAACACTTGCACCTGAAATAGTGGTTTACTTTAATACAGCTATGGGGCCCCAACACTTTAGGTCCACCATCTCCCAGTATTCATGGCAGGTCATAGTTCGCCAATGAAGTTAGTCCCAACAGACCATTTCAGCTACCTATATATTCTAACGCTGTCCCATAAACAGCTAATATTGTCTTTTTTTTTAGGCTTCATTAACCTGTCATCATAGTCATTGCAGATATTTATCTAATTCAACTGACAAGAGAAACCTGTGCGGTTCAGTGATCTTTTTATTCTGCAAAAGGGCAAATCTTAAATAATGCTGTTTTGCCTAAATGCGCCCAGCCGTTTCTTTTTCTTCAAGTACAATGGGTGAAAAAAAACCCTAAACATCTGTCTTCAAATGTGCTCCGTGTGCAATAAACGAGACTGTAGAACAGCCTTATTTTGGCTTGTTTAATAAGGCAGAGCAAAGAGCAATGAACCTGCAAAGCCCAGTGCAATCCTTCCTGTGAAAATGGCATTAGATTATGATATCTCAGACCCATGTACACAAATTTAAATTTTTGCTCTGCTGCACGGTGACTGTGACCGCTCCTTCTTAGTGTAAACGAAGGAAAAAATTCAGCTCCTTTAATGCAGTGGAAGTTTTTCTTTCTCTACTTTTATGTAAATTGTGCTTTCAATCAATGTGATTCAGTGAACATGGAGCACAGAAAAACCTCCCCCTTGGATAAGGAGAGGTGATCTATAGTGCAGCCTTTCTCAGCCTTTTTCAGTCGTGGCACCTTTTAAAAGCATGCAAAAATCTCG